CCGCCCCCGGCCGCCCCCGGCCGCCCCCGGCCAGAGCACACGTCGCCTTTACGTAAGCGCCAATCTGCGGGAGTGGGCAGGCCGGGAGGACGAGGCTTGTAAGGATGCCGCACAGGAAACCGCAGCGAAACCCAAGCAGTGTCTGAACGTGGCACACTTTCAAGAGAGTGAACTTCAATTCACACACTTGTACGACAACAACCCCTCCTCCTCCGAGCCCCCCCACTCTCTTTAATGGTGTAAAAATTGACTAGTTTGTTGTTTTGCCCATCAGACACAAAATTTTGATAATTCTAGAATGATTATGATTGCAAACAAAACGACAAACAAAACAATTTTTCCAAATCTAGTAGAAAGCAAGAAATACATCGCGCAGACGCTCATCATAGAACTAGTGCCGTGTTGTAAAGAACAGTAAGGCTCGACACAAAAACAGAATGAAAATTGGTAGGCCAATGTTTCTTTGAAGTCTATAAGTGTATAAGGTGTCATCTGCTAAAATCTATACGTCTATGCGAAAGTCAAATGGACACACCTTACAGTACAGAGTGGTACACGGTGAGCGACGGAAGTTGAAGTTTAAGCAAAGTAAAGGAAGGGGGCTGTGGACGACCCTACGTGCTCGCGAGTTTGAGGACTCATCAACACTAAAAACCAAAGTGTATAAATGTCGCACACTTGTAGAAGAGTGAATTTCTATTCACACGGACCAGTCAAGGTGTTAATTTCGGTGTAAAATTCGCACATCTGAAATGTACGAATGGAAATACACACACACATACGCACCAACAAGAGTGTACGACACTCACACACTTGGATTTCCAAAGTGTATAAGCTCTTGTTTAGCTTTAGAATTTGTTCGGCGTGCACTAAAAAAAGGGGCCCAAGCAAAAAAGCCGAGGGGGCCACCACTCGCGTAATCCTGTGTACAGACGAGAGTGTAATCCCTATGTCATCCTCGTGAATTCCGTGTAATGCCTGACAAAATTTTAGAACATTATCACTAAATTTAACCTTAGTGTCCTAATTAATCGGTTTATTGGAGCCAGAAATTCAACAAAATTCACGTGTAGTCCCTGTAATCGCGTAATCCTGTGTACATCCTAAACTGAAGTGGTGGCCCCCTCGAGGGGGAGGGGGAGGGGGCTGGAGCACGTGACGGCCGAGGAGTGAGAAGGGGGTGGCGGGTGGGGGCGGAGCTGTCAAATTTATTTATCCCCCGCGGCCGGGGGGTCCGGCGGGGGGTTCCATTGAGCGGCCCCCCACGCACGGACAATGCCGCCCGGCCGATTGGGGCCCGCATTACAGTTTTAGCCCCTCTCTCGAGCCGAAAGCGAGGCGCTTCTGGACGCGAGGGGAAGCAGCCGGCGAGGCAGATGAGCAGGCGTGGCGGCGGCGGCAGTTTGCTTAGCCCGCCGCGCGCGCTATTGTCCTCCTCCTGGGCGCCTGCCTCCACCGGGCCGGCCCAGAATAGTCATGTTTGTACGAACGAGGCTGGGCTGGGCCTCCTGTAGTAGTATCGAGAGTAGAGGAGAGAGACACTACTTATAGATGCGTGCAGATCCAGAACAGGAGAACAGGGGGCGGCCCGTGAAGAGAAAGGGTGCGGCTCAATCGGGGCGCCGACGAGGACGATCACGCTTGGGTCGGAGCTAATAAAGGGGTCCCACAGCGGCGCGCACGCGGTCTGCGGCCGCCTTTTATATGCGGCCATTTTCGTCTAGTAGGCGCCTCCAGCTGGAATCGGAGTGTTAGTTATATTTAGGGGCGGCGGGGGGCCGCGGACACCAACAGGAGCAGGAAGAGATTCGACAGGAATAAACTATACGCGCGAACCGTCCCGTACTTAGCGCATGCATTGAGTCCAAAAAAAAAGGGTCGGCGCCAGACAGGATACAGGCCGGTCCAATAGACCATCGCACTTCCTTTCTTTTTGCTGTATACTGTACCGCACGCAGGCGTGAGGGCGGGCTTGCCTACCGGCGCTCACCAACCACGGCAGTATAAGCAAATTAAAGGAATCACTGAAAATGCTAGTCATATATCTTACTCTACTTAATTTGAGTCATCATTTTGCTCTCCTCCCCCAATGAGTGAGGTCCACCACTGCAGTTGGGTGAGTTCAGGCAGGGAAATCTTACTGCTCCAGAATGAGAATTCGGTACATACATAACTCAAATGGGGTGAGCCTTATAGTCATCGCTCTCATTAAGCGAGGCAAAATTGTCTCACTCATTTTGAGCACGACACCTCACTCAAAGGTTTTTCAGTAAAGGGGTCTGCACTGTTAAAATCTTACGACTGTGAAAAATAGTAGGTAGGTTTACAGAAAAATTTTCCTGGACGCCAGTTGTAAAATTACAATTTGTAATCGTAAAAATACATGCTGTACGTATCGATTTCAAATCCATTGGCGAGTAAAAAATGTGCTCTCGTAAATTTACAACTTAAATTATAATTCGAGTTTACAAAAATTTTGTAAATTTACGACGATATTTTTTACAGTGTACGAAGCAAAATGCCAAATCCTTCGTAGGTACGACACGCGCGTCCGTTTTTCTCAAGTAATTCACTCGCGTCCTATTAGTGCGGAGGCTCGGCGCCTGCGAGGCTCGGGGTAGGCCAGCCCGCAGCGCACGCACGCACTGCAGGCGAGATGTTGCCTACCCATCGGGCGCCATGAGAGCCATCGCACACAGGATGGACTAGTCAGTTTCACTGTAAAATGAATTTCGTTCTTTCACGATAGAAATCTTGTCACAAACAGTTCGTAATTGAAAGTAACGAGTGTTATTCATCAATTTTGGCCACTTATACTGTCATTACGAACTGGTCTAAAATAAAACTATTCGTAAACTCGTGATTTATCAGGATGTCAGATGTATATTTTACTTTAAAATAACGAAAATTCCGTGAAGTAAGATTATTCCTTTCATTGCACCATTGCACCCCTTTCGAGGCAGGTTGAAAACTCGGAAGTGTCAGTGTCGGAGACGTCGCAAGTCGGAAGTCGCAGGTGACTTTGGCATATATGGCGTCAGTCGTCCGATTATCAATTCAAGTTCGAGCGGTTCAACAAAATGCTCCAGTTTTATAGAAAATCAAGGCTAGACGCGCACGTTGACCTCGAGAAGAGAAACGATAAACACACAAGAATTGCGCCTTTTGCTGACGAATAATTGTGTTTGAATTTTGCCGCGCTCGTCACCAATTACTGGAAGGAGGGGGCCACCCCTTCCCTAATTATTTGTCGCCGTTGCACTCGTTTCTCGTTCCTCCATCTAATTGGCTTCACACCCTAGCAGTTTGTGTTTTTTTTCTCGCCATCTTCTCTCTCTGTCAGTCAGCCGTCCTCGCCCCTCGCTCTCAGGTCGCGGCCCCCGCGGCGGGGAAGGGCGGGGCGGGGGCGCTTGTTGCGTGGCCAGGAGAAGGGGCCCCAGGAGCCGCGAGAGGCGACCGCCGCCCTCCCCTTTCCCCGCGGGCCAGGTGGTCTGGCTGGGTCTTGTAGCCAGGACCCCACGTGCTGCCCGCTCGCGTGGATGGTGTCCCGGCCGAGGAGGAGGGGGAGGGGGGGA